ACACACACACACACACACACACACACACAGTCTTAATGGCACTTTCCTTTGTACCTGGCCTGGTTTAGATGTCAGATTCTGTATTTCTGTAGCTGTCATTTATGACATTGCTACGGGGCCCTTATACCTGGCTTGTCATTTGCCCCCACTCCCGTGTATTAGGAAGCTTCCACTGTCCTGTCTCTGAAGAGCATCTCTCTCTCTGTAAACACTGCTGCTTTCCTTATAGGACTCTTAAATCTCACTTTATTCTACCTTGAGTTAGCAATTACTCTGCACCAGGTTACCCAACACTACTTGACTGTTACTCAACATTACTTGACTTCAACACTTGGGTGTCCTTCCGGGAAGCATCTTATATTGCAACTTATCTTGACTTAATTATTTTTAAAAAAACTGGTTTTAAGGAAAATACACAAGTTGTATTTTTCCATCACTTTTCTCATTTTGATGCCTGATTTTTTTTTCCTCTTAATTATCCAACCTGAAAGATGGTTTTCTTGGCTATATCCAAGCATGGAAAGTCCCTGTAAACTCAGAGATATAGTGCCTAGTATTCCAACGCTGGCCTCTGGAGAATGGTGAAGGAGAAGCCAAAGCCCAGTTTGAAGAACTGACGAGGCCAGAAGCAGAGGCTTATATGTCCAAACTCTGACACCGAAATTCATCGGGACGCTTGCCTTGTCCCTTAGAACACATACCATCATTTCTGTTTTCTGAGCCGTCTCTCTCTGTGATGCTATAGCATAGCGGTCTGAATCTGCCATTTCATGTTTCCTTTTCCAGCCTTTTCTATAGGGTCCTTTTTCTGACACGGATCCTCCCTTCCCCTGCCTCTACCCCCCACAGTGGTGGCCATTCTCATCTCCCCCCTTAGGTGTTCCCTGTATGAGGTAGTCATGTAAATAGAAGTCACTTCCTCCTGCCAATGGCAGCACACGCGCACTGGGTGCACAAAGTCAGTCTTCCTCTTCGCTGCACAGATGGCACCCGAGGACTGTTTAATCCTTCCACGCCAGGAGTCGGGTTTTCTTGGCATGAAATTCATTGCTGGCAATGGACACATTAAAACTGCCAGTACCAGGGAGCTAAAGGTTCCCAATGTGTTACTCAGAGGAATTATCTGGGAGGGTGATAGCTAAGGTGGGCAGGAGAAAAGTGAGGTGAACGCATTAAGGGAATTGTCTCCACGGAGCTCCGTGTTGGTTGCTTCCTCTGAGGATGGAGGACTGAATTTGTGTGGGGATCTGAATCTGAGTGGAGCACTGAATCTAAGTGCCTATTTTTGGTGCACAGCAGGCTTTAGAATAAAGCTGCCCTCCTTTGTTTTTTAAATGAGCCTGTGCTTTTGTCTCTGGCAAGAATATATTCAAACATTCTATTTTCCTCCAAGGCCCCAGCTGCCCCTCTGGACCCATCATCTTCTACTTCTTTTCTTTCCCAGGTTTGCGCTCTCTCTCTCTCTCTCTCTCTCTCTCTCCCTCTCTCCTGTCCTATCCCTTGATAAGACAGAGAGCTAATTCAACAATTCCTGAAAGGTTTCTGTCACTCTGTACACTTCTGTGGGTCGAAAAAAAATATTTTGAAAAAAAAAATTCCCATTTAGTCAGGACTCTCTTACTTTCTTAGCACATCCAGAGTTAAGAATGCACAAAATGTTCGGTTGTGCAATAAGTTTATATTCTGCGCTAAAAAGCCATTGACACATAGAGTGGAAGACCATATAAATTTCAATACAACCTGATGAGATCACACAGTACCAGGGGATAAAGACCTAGAATTTAGAGGAATCCAAATCTCCAAGAGAACATACCTGTGAATTTGGGCCATTTTACTACTGATGAAAGAGATGCCACCAGGTGAATTGTCAGTGTGTGCCTTGCTGAAAGCTAGTACACCATTTGTGAAGGCATTCACCTGTTTGGTTGACTTCCTCCCAGCGGGGATGTTATTTCCTATACTTTAAAAGCAACTATGAAGATTTGGAGATCCTGAGACATAGGTTTAGACTCAATACAGTAACCCGGCAGTGACCCCATAAGACTTTTTGAAGATCGACACCCACTATGGACAAATGACAAGGCAGGAACTCTTTTAAAGACTACAAGAACCCCAAAGAGGAACCCCAGAAGGACCTGGTTCCAGAGAGGTGACAAGTCTGAGCTATTGAGCAGTGTAATTCTGTAAACAGATCTTCTCTGCCACCAGCCTGCCAGCATAACAGACAGAAATGGGACGACCAAGGAGGTAACTCTACAATCAGTAGCCACAAGCATGCCGCAGTGTAGCCTTATCTCAAGGAGTGGGATCCTGACCAGTGGGTGACCAATTTCTCAAAGCCCATCTGCACTCAGAACTGCAAGACACAATACATAAGAGCCTTTCATTCATTTATTCAGAGTGTCTGGCATTTGATTTGTTCAAAAGTTTATTCCTTATAGATAAGACAAAAGTAAAAACTCTGGAGAGAGAAATGTTTTAACTGGTAACAGAACATGACCTTGAACATCACACAATATCCAATCTGTATGGAAAAGACTAGGAACTTCCAAACTGTGGCCGTAGGGCCTAGGAATCTATATCAGAAGGCTGAAAGGAGTTCAAGGAAAAGGAGGAGCCAAAAATAGAGGATTTCAACTCCCCGCCCCCACCCAGGTTCACTCACCAATTCATTTATTATGTTAGCATAACTAGACTGTATTCTAAGAGCTTTACAGGAATTATCAGCTTCAAGTCTCCATGATTCCCACCATTGTACTGACAGGGAAACCGAGGCACTAAAATATCTAGTAACAGATGGATGTTGAGGGCTCGAAAAGGAAGAGGACACTGTATGAACTAGAAAAGAAGGAGAAGGGGCAGAGAAAGGGGGAAGATGCAAGGAAGATAAGAGAGGTTCCCAACAGGTTACAATGGGGGGAGGGGGCGGCAGGGGAGAGAGAGACAGTGACAGAGAGAAGGGTTTTCCTGGGATCTCTGAGACAGCTCTATTGAACTGAGGGATAGCTTTGGGAAGAGCAGACCAAATGGTGACCAATACATATGACAGGGCGTAGACTGGAGAAGGGATTGTGAATAAGCAGAGAAGTAGGAGACAGAGGGCAGGAGGAGTGGGGCCCTAGTCCTGAGCCTTGCTGCCAAGAGGAGAGGGCAGCCTGGAACACACAGAAGGGCTGATTTAACTTGTAGAGGAGATTTATTTTGCATTTTGCTCAAAATTTGATAGGCTTTTGGCAAGTGTATGAAACAGTCATGGATTTGGCAGTCTTCTGCTAGCAGATTTGAAACGTTCAATCCTTAAGAACTGCTGCATCGTTAGGTTATGCAAAACAGGGTGCAATTTTGTAAATATGCCATCTTGCACTGATTTGACATTTGTTCTATTATCCCAGAATATGCCAAAGGGAGAGAGACCTTCAGATTTAAGCCAAACCTTAACTTGTTTGTGGAGTGCTGATAAAATGTTGACTGCTGTGTGATCTTTAAAGCAGCCAGTGTTGCTTCTGAGGCCTGAGGTAGAGCCCCCTGTCTGGGGTGGATGGGAGCTCTTTCCCTTGGCAGCTCATGGGTACAGTTGTTGGGAAGATGTAAACAAGTAAAACATCTTATTTAGTGGGTTGGATTCAGTTTCTCTTAAATGTTTTCTGTGCCCTCTGCTTGGTATTAATGATGATTCTCCAAATGGCACCTCTTAATTTTCTTTATGCAGCATTGATTTCAGGAGAAGAATCCATAGAGTGAGCTAGTAAGCCCAGGGCTAGAGCTTACTGAGTTGTTAAGTTGTTATCTCTCAGACCCAGTGACTGTTTGGTCTTCTATAGGAGCCTGTGGGTGGTAATGAGCAGTTTGGCTGTGACATCAAATGACTATAGAATATATTGGTGAAGGACCTTGGTTTTGGAATTCAAACAGCCTGCATTGAAAGTTTCCATTACTTCTAGAAGTTTGAACTTGAGGAGGTCATGTTCCTTCCCCGAACCTTAATTTTCTTCTTTACATAATGGGAGTAACCAGTTATGCCTCCCAGAGTCACAGAAGTGATTGTAGGAGACCCCCACACCTGCCATGATGTAAGCTTCAAAAGCATGGCAGCTACCACCATCCTTATCTTCAGGGAGCAAATTGTCCTTCTGGTTCGTGGATGGCACAAAGGGTAGTGTGAAAATTGTCACACCTCCTGTTTCTCACAGCATTTTCCTACTCTCATCAGCTCCTTCCTTTATTTCAAAAATACAAAGATTTATTTGTTGGAAGGTAGCTGAGGAACCAGCATGATCCAACAAGCAGCTACAGATGGTTCTTCTTGGGGATTGAAGGAAAAGCTCCTCACAGAGACGCTGTGGAATCGGCATTGCCGCTGGACCAATCCTTTCCACTTCTCTCTGCCAGACTGTTGCTGGCAGCAGGGCTCTCCGGAAGTTTCTAGCCTCAGGAGAGTGCCAACTGCACCACCATTGCATCCCTGCCCATTTATCACTCTGAGCTTCCGTTTTTGTCATTGGTGATAGACTATCCGGCTTGTAACTTAGTCATCCATTTCCTTTCTCTCATTCCTGTTTCCATGGATAGGCAATGGGGGATCATATAATTTGGGTGCATGAAAATAGTACAATTAATATCTTCTCAACCATTAATCATATATTGGAGAAATGCATACATTGCCTATACACTCGCTTTGCATGTTTCCTTCATGGCTTGAAGTGTGCCATACAGCGGGCAATAGAGTCTTACCAGAGAAGCCAGGATGCATAGTCCAGTAATGAACTGCACACCCGTGGTTCCCGAGGCAAAGTGACATCATTGAATTTGGGGGAAGGTTGTTTCCTGCACGGATAGCTCCTAAGAGGGTGTGCTTTTGGCAGCTGTCTGTTTCCCTTGTTGAAAAGTCCCTCGGGAGGCTTCTCCCAACGAGCAGGGAACCGTGTACTGAAATGGCACACTTATCTTGCAACTGCAGGGGAAGCTTTTGTTTTATTTTTCTCTTGCTGCATTAAAGTATTTGTCTTTCTTTCTTTGTAGTGTAATATTGTTAATGTAAAACAATTTGCATCATGACACTTTTATCACAGTTTTCGTCTTTTTCTCAGTATGTTGCGTTTCTCACCATGTCTAGTTCATCACAGCTACAGTGTGTACATCACAACATTTATCTTAGGCTCAGGGTTTTACTTGTTTATAAAAATTGTCTTCTTTCAGCCTGTATTCACTCCATTTAAGAAAAAAAAGGCAGCCAGAAACTGTTTTGGTCCAAACTCCAGTAGTTATCACATTCCTTGCTAACTGTCCTGTGTATTTATATGTCTCCTAACTATTACTCTATGTTTCAATGACATTTCTCCATCTCATGGCACTGGGAGGTGGTTGGAGCAGCTTTTCTGGTTGTGCTGCCAAGCAAGGCAGGCCCATAGGGCTGCTGGAGGTAAGGCGAGGTGACACCATTGTATATCTGGGTCAGGGTGTTAAAGTCTGTTATCTTCTGTGAGTAAAGGGTGGAATTGAACTTGTGAAGGAATATGGTGGCAGAAAGTCAGCACAGGCTGGGTGCTTGGCTGGTTAGAGGACACCACTGGGAAGGGCCCTTAAGGGGCCTTGGCCCTATAAGTAAGAATGAGTCATGAGTCTTACCTTCCTGACTCTAGCCTTGTCTGGTGGATAACAATGCCTTTTAGGAGAATTTGATTTGATAGTCTCCAGTTGGAGGGCAGGGAATACAGTTTTGTGCTATCACCTGCTGATGGGAAAGACACCCTTCCCAACCTTCAGGGTTGTTCAGACCAATCTCAAATCTAATTATTTCACTGTGAGAAGGCAATGCAGCTCAGAATCCAGAGAATCCACTATTATAACGTACTTCAAGTTCCTGGACAGTTAATTAAAATTTTATTTCACAGGGTTCCTTTGCTGGAAGACAATCACGAGCCCTTTGGAATTTTAGGAGACATGACAGAGAAACAGAAAATAAAGGAGATTTTCCCAGACTTGGTCTAGTTTTGACATATCCTAACATGGATTATGGTGCAACTTACTTCCTGAATCTGTCTCTTCATAGATAGAGCAGGGTTGGCATAGACCACATCACACAGGTGTAAGAATTTGATTCACTTTCATGGCTCCTTCAAGACGGTTGGTTAGCACAGTGGAAGGCACAGAGGAAATGTTAGTACCTAGAATTACAACTGCTGTGGTATAGTACTTGGAAGTAGGCATAATGACTTGCTAAATTGCAGAATGAGACTATTTTATACTGCCTACTTTATTTCCACTTAACTCTGCAAAAGTAGGATCAATTACTGTAAATAATGCTGAATAATTGCACTTGCTCATTTAGTTGATAAATATTTAGCTCTGTATTAGATGCTATAATAAATGTTATTATTTAAGGATAATAAATAATATAAGCAAGTCATTTTTCTTATGAACTATTTAGTTGGATACAAATGAATGTTATTTGACTAGATGAAAAAATGAATGGATACACAAATAACATTGGCAGTTTTGTGATGGATAGGGGCACCCTTGCAAACATTCCAGCTGCATGGAATCATACATAGGTAGATGTATGTGGGACATCCCATCAAATGGGAAGTTTTTCTAAAATTAAATTAAAGAAGAACGTTTAATGAGTTACACTGCTTGTTTGAAAAGTTTACGAATAAAAATCTCAATTTGGGCCAGAAATTTAATATGATGAGGTTGATTAGGAAATAGTCCACCTAAACAGGATAGGTCATTTCATCCTTGAGCTAACCAGGATGATCTTAGGAGTCTTGGTCGATGGAAACTTTTGTATAACTGCACTGAATTTTGTAGAAAGCATGTCACTTCCCTGAAACACTGTGTCACTGAGTTTTAAGTCAGCCTCAACAATTTAAACAGTGCTTCTACCACGTCTCTTGACGCCTAAGTTCAATTGTTCTTATTCCTACTTTGCAGAAATCGGAACTTAGAGTGCAGCATGTACATCTCCAGTTGCAAAGCTCAGTAGTATTGAAACTAAAGACTAGACTTGAACATGTAACTGTAGTCCCCACACCTTTGTAGTCAGACCACTAGGACTCCCAGCAAAAATATTAAGTATCCATTAGCTCTGTAGATGGGGATGTCACAGAAATGCAGACCTTGACAAATGATGAGCTACGTGGCTGCTTTTGAGTCTGTAGAGATGTCACTGTTTCTTTCTATCCAACCCACTTCAGGACAAGCAAAGCAGGCTCCAGCTTCCCAGGATCTAGCTGGCATTTTCCTTTCACCTCAACATTGTAACTAGTTCTAAACTGAAATAATCTGACCTATGCTTTTAAAGATTTGTTTTCCATCCAAGACCTCTGATCCTTATTTTGGAAGCCCCTAGATCACTCAGACCAAAAGTACACCTTCTAACCCTTTATCCTGTCTCTCTGGCTGGCTTGGGAATAACATTTAACAGAAGTATTTTTTTTCCAATATTCAAAAATGAGGATGTACCGAACACCCACTGATTTTCTGAGGGCACCCTTGATCTCCTTCACCCTTTCCCTTCCCATATGCTACACGTGCTTAGGTTTTAAACATCTGTTTACAGGGAGGTAATGTTTGCTTTTCATTCAGAACCTAGCAATGTGGACCAAAGTTCACATGACATATTGCAGAGTATGTTTAGTTGCAAATGCTATGTACAGGCTCCTTGAAATGTAGCATGTATGGCACCATGTGACACATGGTTGCTATGGTAATACACTTTTTGGCTGAACTACAGCAGAAGCCCATGGAACATACATTGCTAATATGAGACTCTGCCCTGTGATAATACATAGGACATAGCAATCTGTGATCTGGGACTGTAGGGGTTTTGCATGCAGCCTAGGGGACAGGTGCCCTCTTCCTACATGTGCAGGGAAGATGTGGCATTCTTCCTTTCCAGTCCCGTCTCCCAGGCACAGGGCATGCTGTGCATTCTGCCATGCATGGAGACAGCATTTGCTTGAATATCGGTTTGCTATATTTTGTATCAAAGGGGGCCCCAGCTGAAAACATTTTATTTTGTAAACTGAAGTGAAAAATCAGTTATGGCAGATCCTTTTTTGAATAATGACATTCTTTTTCCCAATTTCAGAACTCAACAGTCATGAGCAGAGCTGAAAATTTTAAACAAGTTGAGTACCTCCTTATTCACGGAACGGCAGATGGTGAGCTTCAGCTAATTAGACTTTTTAGTATCACAGACAGGTTTGCAATTTCACTACTGACAAAACAAAAGCATGAGGGGCAAGACTGTTACATTTACTTCAATAAAACAGTGTTGCTTTCCACAACTCACTTGTCTTGGGCTAAATGGAATGCTGAGTCCTAGAACTTCAGTCACTTTCTTCTTGTGCCTTCCTTCTCGGTATCTGAAAACTCCAGAGGCTATTAGCTACTTGTTTACGGCTGTTTGTTCGCTGTCTTTCCCACAGATAATGTTCACTTTCAGCAATCAGCTCAGATCTCCAAAGCCCTGGTGGATGCTGGTGTGGATTTCCAAGCAATGGTATACTAAGACTTTGTTTGGGAGGGAACAAAGTATCTGGTGGGTCTAGATTCCTCTTTGGGGGTTACTTTTTCCCAAGGAAGTCTCAGAAGAAAGGAAGAGAGGAGAGGCCCCTTATCATTCCACTGTGAAGTTGGAGAAGTGATATCCTTGAGTCGTACACAGAGTAAATATTAGACAGTTTGAGGTTGAGAAACACAGTATTACATATCCTGGGAGTGTCAAAACACCATTCTTCTATTCCTGTGATGGTTCAGTCTCTCCCTGTTTTGATTCGAAAGTAATCACTTATTCTGTAAATGTGTGGCAGAGTAATTCTAAAGTGAAACCAGCATGATAATAGCTGAAATGTAAACTCCATTCTGTTATTATGATTACTAGCCATCCTAGCAACAGTGGGGCATTAATAATCAGCATGCTTCAGTTCTTGCAGTTGCTACATTATCTTTTGTTGAACAACTGCAGGCAGCAAACAATTAGACTTGTTTATAAAGTCAGAAATGGCTGGGGCTGATTTTGTCTGTACAGAGGAGGTTTTGGGTATTTAGTCTAACTCATCTTCTTCATTAGAAGTCTTCATCAGATTTATATATATATATATATATATATATATATATATATATATATATATACACATACATGTCTTGCAGTAATAATACAATATTGTAAAACACAACTTTCTTAACTGTTTTGGCTAGAAAACACTGTCCTCCCCCCCCACTTCTAACACATAATTTGCTGTGCACTCAGTTTCAATAGTGCCCACTATGTAGGAGTGGGTTTTCTATTTTGTACTGAGAAAACCTACTGTATCTTTTGGGCCAGATTCTCAGAAGAGGTTGAGGTTTGTTTTTTCCCTGCTTAAAGCAAAGTCAGATAATACTTGAGGCATGATTAAAATTAACTTATGTCTCAGGAATATGTACCTGCCTGACAGAAACATCAGGTATACAGAGTTTTTAATTTCCAGTAAAAAATTTAAGTGTTGGTAAATAAAACATTTGGCATTTGACTTCATTTATGTTACAGATATAAAACTTTAATATTGAAATTGATTTTTCTAGCCATTAGATGCTTATATTAGAGATTTTCCCTTAAAATCTATTTATTTAAATACATACTCAAGTGTAGAGAGATTTGACGCTTGCTAGCACCTATTAAAATAGTATGCCTGCTGGTATAAACCTTCCCATTCGGAATGTAGTTTTTAAGTGACCTTTGAGTCACATTTAAAGGTTGATTTGGGTATTTTAATTAGAATACACCTATCCTTAAAGACTTATACAGTAAATCCAAATGCATATTGGATTTTCTCAGTATCCCATTCCCAAAAGAGGACCAGAGACTTCTTTAGGACTGAGGATGTCTTGAAAAGCTCTGGGGAAGAACTAAGCACCCTCTTTGATGACACTTCAGTTTATAAACAATTCCTGTTTTTACACCATGCAAGAGCTCGTTTGAATTTTTCCGTTTTAAAGACAGCCGACCTCCTAATTCTGACCTCTCTCTCTCCCCAGTGGTACACGGACGAAGACCATGGGATCGCTAGCAACACAGCTCACCAGCACATCTATTCCCACATGAGCCACTTCCTCCAGCAGTGCTTCTCCTTACACTAGCACAGGCCAGTTATCCACAACTTATTTAAGAACACGTTTGTTCTCATTATCTCAAAGCTGCACTGTTAAGATGACGATCTTAATAATGTGGCATCGAGAAATTTCAGGCTACTTTCCAGTTTTATACCTGCTGTCTTAACTACGGATGCCTGTCTCCAGAACAGATTATTACCTTACAGCAATTTGGATTTTCCCCTCTGTTTTGTTTATCATTTAAAATCATTTCCACATCAGCTGCTGAAACAACAAATATAAATTAGTTTTACAAGAGCTATGCATAGATTTCCTGAGCAGAATTTCAATTTTTTTTCCTTACTAGACTAGTCCAAATCTTCTTTCCTTATTTAAGGGGGTGACAAGATGTGGGTGATGATGTCATTAGGGCAGCAACAAGAGAAGAGGGAACAGGGAGTATGGCTAGAAACCCAGGTCCAAGCATACAAACCCAACTACTGTCAGCTCGCCTCAAGAAGAGCTGTTCACTGCCAGACTGGCACAGTTTTCCGAGAAAGACTATTCAAACAGTCTCAGGAAATCATATATGCAAAGCACTGACTTCTAAGTAAAACCACAGCAGTTGAATAGACTCCAAAGAAATGTAAGGGAAGCTGCCAGCAATGTAAGGGCCCCAGGTGCCAGTTATGGCTATAGGTGCTACAAAAACACAGCAAGGGTGACGGGAAAGCATTGTAAATGTGCTTTTAAAAAATTACTGATGTCTTCTAGTGAGAAGAGGCAGCTTGGAACATATCGACTTGCCCTGTTAAAAGTTGAAAATATTTGTGTCACAAATTCTAACATGAAGGAATACTTGCGTCAGTTTTTTCTTGACTTCATTTCTTTGAACATTTTAATTAAAATAGTTTAACTTCATTAGCTTTTTTTAATGGAAAATTAAATGAGGATGTTCTGTGTTATTATTCTATTCTACACACTAGAATTTTGCAGGTCACTTAGTAAATATGCTTCTATTTTTCAGAGGTAGTGGGTTGTATCTTGAATCAAACTTAAACTGCATTGACATATGGACACATTTGTTCAAAGGTTCTTGTTTAACTTGTTAGAAATCCAAGACTGTCTTGTAAACATGGAAAGAGTTCAGCTTTTAAAAAAAATTAGATACATAAAACTGTTTAAAGTTAAACGATTCATAAGAGTTTATCTAATACCCCCTGGAATTTCTATTCTCACACTTATCACATATTGTTATCACTTAACAATAATTTGGTCATTTACATACTATGGAATTCATAATATAATTTAACCTAGGGGAGCACGTGAGGGTCACAGCATGAGATGTAATACTATCCGCAGAGTTGTTTTGGTAGACATGTCCTTCCAGGGTTTTGTATTTTGTTTTGTCTCTGGTCTCTTCTTAGGGGCTGGGCAGGGTTGATGAAATAGAAAACATACAATCTGGTACTGAACTTGACTTAGCAATATTTGGATAACTTAGAAAATACTATGTTTTGTTTCAATTATTTATAACACAGCTGCATTTTTAAAATGGGCTTCACACATTTAAATATAGCTTCAGACCAATTTGCTAGATGCAGTTATCATAGCCAGGTGAGCCACAGCCTAAATTCCAAACGTGGCAGAAATGGAAACTACCAATCAGATAAGAATAAGATTAGATATTCATGAGCCTGATGCCATTCCCCAGGCATTCCACTGATTCATTTCACCTTAAGTAACTCTTTTTTTTTTTTTAATTTTTTTATTGGATGTTTTATTTACATTTCATATGTTGTCCCCTTACCCCATCCCCCACCCACCCAGGAACCCCCAATCCCCTCACACCTCCTCCTTCTTCTTTGTGGATGTAACCTCTATCTACCCCCCCACTCCCACCTCCCCACCCTCAAAACTCCCACCCCCTGGGGCGTCCAGCCTTCATGAGGTCAAGGATCTCATCTTCCACCTGTGCCCAGCAGGGCCCTCCACTCTTATATATTCAGCTAAGGCCCTGGATCCCTCCATAAGTGCTCCCAGGCTGGTGGTTTAGACCCTGGGAGCTGTGGTTGGTTGGTATTGTTGCTCTCCTCATGGGGCCACAAATCCTTTCAGCTCCTTCAGTCTTCACTCTAACTCCTCCATTGAGAACCCCACAATCACTTCAATGGCTAGTTGTGAGCATCTGCTTCTGAATCTAGAAATTATCATCCTGAGTGAAGTAAGCCAATCACAAAAGAACACACATGGTATTCACTCACTGATTATTGGATATTAGCCCAGAACCTTAAAATGCCCAAGATGCAACTCACAGGCCACATGAAGTCCATAAAGAAGGAAGACCAAGTGGGGGTGATTCGGTCCTTCTTAGAAGGAGCAACAAAATACTCAAGGGAGCAAATATGGAGACAAAGCGAGGGACAAAAACTGAAGGAGGGGCCGTCTGAAGACCTTTCCACCTGAGTATCCATCCCATGTGCAGTCACCAAAGGTAGATGCTGATGTGGAAGTCAGGAAGTGCATGCTGATAAGAGCCTGATATGGATGTCTCCTCAGAGGTCTTAAGTAACTCTTGAGTCCCACTCTTCCACTGCAAGCATTGCTGCTACTTAAACCTGTAGGTTTCTGGCTCTAATCCTGGGTTTGAACACAGCTCTTTCTCTGTGTGCAGCAGCAGCATCTTCAAAGTTCTAGATCAAGGAACAGAGATAACACATGTTCCTGACAGTGTGAAAACCTAAAAGCAAACTAAATAGAAATTATCCTTTTTGAATTCATTATTCTAAACCCCATCATACAATAATCTAGGTTTTTATTACTACATCTTATATGAAGCATCATATATATTTATATAATAGCCAAACCATGAATTTTTTTTGTTCCTTTTGTTTCTAAATACCTTGTTTCTGGAGCCTGAATTAATAAAACGATCACAGTACACATTTTTCAGGCAATGAGAGTTTCAAATGGTGATAATGTGAATGAATTCAGTTTTCTATTTGACTCTTATGGGACAAGTTTTACTGTTCATTAAGAGTTGTAAATTAGATTAAGAACCTGATGCGTAAGTTGTAGATAAACTTAATTTTAGATTAAGTTTGAAAGCACAAGAGCTAGTAACACCATTAAGGTATATAGATCAGCCTCTTAGGGGCATATGCAGCCTCTGGAAGCGCACAGATAAAGCTTACTCCTGAGCGCGCCAGAACCAGAGGCGCATGCGCTAATGAAAGGGCGCCCCAATGCTTCACGGTCCAGGATCACTTCAGTCTGTGCCATTCTAGGCATTGTGGTTCTCAGAGTATTAGCAATTCCACCTCTTGGCACTTACTGCTTTTGCTCTAAGTTGGATCAAGAATACTGATTTATAAGATTACTAGATTTGTACAATATTTAAGATTCAATAAATTCTAAGTGAAAAAACATACCAAAACACAAGCATGTTTTTTTTTTCCTAAAATAAGATAATTTTGTTGTGCCAACTTTATGACAGTTATTTCAGCAGCATTTTCACATACATCCTGAGTGACCTGAAGCATGCATTTGGGATGTTTTGGGGGACACAGATGGCTGAGAATGAAACACAAATGGGGGTTATAAAGCATGACATCCCTGGCTACCCCATAAGAAAATCTCAGAGGCTGGGTTAATAATACCACCATGAAGCTCAGCATAGCTGATCATCTCTCTGCATTCATTTTTCTCTGATAAAATTAAAATTGAATCCCAAGAATTTGAATTAATAAAAAGATTTTTTTGCAGATATTGAAAAAGGTATGTCTTTCAAGGAATATAAGCCAATGGTTCTCAACCATCCTGATGCTGTGACCCTTTAATACAGTTCCTCTTGTGGTGGTGATCCCCCCAACTACAAAAGTATTTTCATTGCTACTTCATAACTGTAATTTTGCTGCTATGAATCATAATGTAAACATCTGTGTTTTCCAATACTCTTAGGTGACCCTTGTGAAAGGGTTGTAAGACCACCCAAAGGGGTTGTGACCCCACAGTTTAAGGACCTCTGTTATCAGTGGGAGGGGAGGCCTTGGTCCTGTGGAGGTTTGATGCCCCAGTGTAGGAGGATGCTGGAGTGGTGGGGTGGGAGAGGGTGAGTGGGTGGGTGAGTACCCTCATGGAGGCAAAGGGGAGGAGGAGTGGGTGGATGTAGGATGGGGGGTTTTGTGGAGGGGTAACTGGGAAGTGGAATATCATATGAGATGTAAATGAATGGAATGATTAATTTAAAAAAGAACTGCTATTATAAACTATAAATGTCAACAGACTTAATAGTCTTTCTTTTGTATGGCCTTTTTGAATTGATTCTCTAAGCACGTGAAGTTTCTTAAAACACATGCATCATGATAGTGGAATTGTATGACCATTCAACAAACAAAATCTTTATCCTCATCTCTCTGTATCTACAGAGACTGGTTCTAGATTCTCCTGTGGACATAGGTACCAAAATCCAGTGATCCTCAAGTATCATTCACAGGAGCACCTCTTGTGAAACAAGTCTACGAGGAAATGGAAGCTTGTCCCCATCTTTACTTCAGTCTCTAGATTTTTATCATATATAGCAATGGAAATGCTGATTGAAAGAAATAATTATAAAGGGGAAACATAAATGCACGCCAAGTACAAACATAGTTGTTTCAGAAATACTTTTGATCAGGGAATGTTTGAATCCTCAGATGCAATGGACATGAAGACTAGGGACACTGGAGGTACATGACGGTATTTCTTTAAGTTGCTGCTGTACAAAATCATAACTTTGTGAATTGTGAGCAACAAAGTGACTTGCCTGTCTAGCTTTTGTTCCGCTGTCAATCACAGAGAAATAAGCAATGGGGAAAGTATAGTATATCGAGTATATACTCAATCTAATTGTGGTTCTAAGCACCAAAGTGAATGCCCTATTAAGGATGAGCAAAAGCCTTTCTCGCCTCCTGCTTGAGATACTGCTCTTCAGCAAAGTCAGACACATGGGGCAAGACAGTCAACAGTTGCAATAAACATAGTATTATTTAAGGAACATTATCCAGCCTTTTCCAGTTCAGCTCCACGGGAACTTAAAAGAAGAAGTATAAAACGTCCTACCTCAGAACTGTTGGATACCTGAGATTCGCATATGTGCAGCGTCCAGCATCTTCCTTTTCGTTTTCTTCCCTGCGAGCCACAGTATTTTGGAGTTTTCCCTACCTTGGTGGCTGCATCTATTTCATAAATCGTTCCCTTAAACTTTGACTTTCTCAAGTGCCACTTCTATGTAGTGCCCAATATGCACTGTTCGTGTTCTCTACTGGAATAGTCTAAAAACTCCTTTTGTATCCCTTATTGATCTTAATAGACTGGACAAGAGGACTTTCTGGAACATCTTACTTATGCTTCTGCAATAGCTTCTGCTTTTGGATAAATATCAAAGGTGTATAGAGTTAACAGGGAGGGTTAAGAGACCACCACTACCATCAAAGGGCTTAGAAACAAGCAGAAGAATAAAGTTGTCTGGTAGAAGTCTGTGATTCCCCACACTAAAAGATATAGACTCAGTCCACAGTAAGAAAGGAGGATAACAGGACTGAGAATGTAAATATGCCCAGAACATGTAAATATGCCCAGCAAAGAGTCAGAAGTTATCTCTGATTGCTGACCACAATCACACTCTCAAAATACTTAAGAGACTAAAACCTTTCAGAAGGTTGCCACCTCAATCTTGCGATATTTTGGCCATCCTGACTATGAGCTAGCCTCAAAATCCTGCCAGTCCTGTTAGCTCAGCCTCCCAAGGACTGATATTATAGATGTTTGCCATCCAGATTGTATCTAATTTTATTTTCTTAACTGGTTATACAAGATAGACATACTAAAAAGTTAGAAATCAGTCTGTCAATGATAGAAAAACAATTCAGGAGAAAATTGGCTTTAGTGGGATAGAAACGGGAGAGAT